TATTCCATGTTTTTATTTTAGAAAACAAATGGCAAATATTGAGAAGCTTAAGTTTTCGGCTCTGCACATCACTTTGGCCAATTATATATTTTTTGAATTGCCAACGTCGAATTACATTTACAATCTCTTGGCTTAATAAAAACCGTAAAAGAGAATAATATTTCGACGGTTCAAGAAAGGGAAAAATTGGTGATCTTTAATTTAAGACACCTTGATGAAAGTATGATATGTGATTATGCACACATATAAGATCCCAAAGAGATCTAGGAATCCCTAAAGGCTCGATTTGATAATCGAAAGGCAATAAATCTCCCACTTGCTTGGGATGAATGACAAAGTCTAAAGTTCAAAGACTTTGATAAAGTGATGGATTATAATTCCGCTATGATGGAAATTGTGGTTAAAATATTATGGTGATATTATCACTGATTCTCAGATGCTTGAGAAAACGTATACCACGTTTCATGAAAACCACATTACCCAGCAAAAACTGTATATGTCATACGGGTATACCGAATTTTCGGATTTATTTGTGGCACTCCTAATAGCGGAAAAGATTAATGAGACCGCTCATGCGGTTAACTAAAGAGCTTGTATTGAGACTGCTGAAATATTCTCTAGTTATGCCATATATGTATAATATTATGCTTTTATTATTTTGAAAAATAATGTTGTTTTAACAACAATTTAATGTATAATTATTGTGTGTTTTCCTTTTATAAAATTTACTTTCTTTATGTTTATCTTAATCACAGAAATGGATGAAACAATCTCCAAGGAAATGGCTCAAGAAATTTGTATACCAGATAGTGGAACAACACACACTATTCTGAAGGACAAAAGATATTTCTCTAACTTAAAACCGACAAACGTTATTGTCAATACAATATCAGGTCCTGTAGACGTGATTGAAGGAACTGGTATGGCCAACTTTATGTTGCCTAATGGAACCAAGTTTTCCATAAAAAATGCCTTCTATTCTCCAAACTCTAAAAGGAATTTGTTGAGTTTCAAAGACATATACCTTCAAGGATATGATACTCAGTCTGCAACTGAGAATGAAAAGAAGTATATGTACATAACTTCTGATAAATCGGGAAAAAGGCTTATATTGGAAAAATTTCCAAAACTTCCTTCAGGATTGCATTATACTCATATAAGTGCAATCGAATCGCATCTTGTGATCAAAAGAAATCCAGAAGATTTCGTATTATGGCATGATCGCCTTGGTCACCCAGGCACCTCGATGATGCGAAAAATCATAGAGAGCTCACATGGACACCCATTGAAAATCCAGGAGATATATCATGGGAATAAAAAGACATGTGCCGCATGTTCTCTTGGAAAACTGATCATAAGGCCATCGCCAACCAAAATTGATAAAGAATCACCAAAATTCCTTGAACGAATTCAAGGAGATATTTGTGGACCAATACATCCACCATGTGGACCATTCCACTATTTCATGGTATTAATTGACGCATCCAGCAGATGGTCACATGTTTGTCTATTATCATCTCGAAATATGGCATTTGCGAGATTTCTAACTCAAATAATCAAACTGAGGGCTCAGTTTTCTGATTACCCTATTAAAAGAGTTAGACTAGACAACGCTGGTGAATTCACATCCCAAGCATTCAATGATTATTGTATGGTAACGGGAATTGAAGTTGAACATCCTGTAGCTCATGTTCATACACAAAATGGCTTGGCGGAATCATTAATTAAACGTCTGCAATTGATTGCAAGACCATTGATCATGAGATCAAAACTTCCAACCTCTGTATGGGGACATGCCATTTTGCATGCAGAAGCACTCATTCGGATAAGACCAAGTGCATATCATAAATATTCCCCATTACAACTAGTATTTGGTCGTGAACCAAATATATCCCATCTAAGAATTTTTGGTTGTGCAGTGTATGTGCCTATAGCACCACCACAACGTACAAAGATGGGACCACAAAGAAGGTTGGGAATATATATTGGCTGTGATTCTCCATCAATTATAAGATACCTCGAACCGCAGACTGGTGATGTCTTTACGGCACGATTTGCCGATTGTCACTTTGATGAGAAAGTATTCCCGGTTCTAGGGGAGAAAATAAGCAAGTAGGAAAAGAAATTAAATGGTGTGTACCATCCCTGTTACACCTTGATCCTCCTACAAAACAGTCAGAAATAGAAGTTCGACGAATTGTACATTTGCAAAGTATAGCAAATCAACTTCCCGATGCTTTTGCAGATACCAAAACGGTAACTAAATCATATATACCAGCTGCAAATGTTCCTGCTCGAATTGAAATACCACAAGAAAGTGGAAGAGCAGATGATACACGTGAGTCTAAAACACGCTTGAAACGTGGTAGACCAGTTGGTGCTAAGGATAAAAATCCTAGAAAACGAAAGGAAGTTGAAAAGCATGATATTCCCAAAATAGCAGAAAGCATTTTGGAAGAAACGAATCATGAGTCTAATGAAAATGATGAGCATCATGAGCCTGAAGGAAATCATGAGATTTCTATCAACTATATCCATAATGGAAAAATCTGGGATCGAAATAAAATGGATGAAGTTAATGACGCTTTCTCATACCTTTTGTCAAAGGAAATTGATGAAGAAAACGAGGATCCAGAACCAAAGTCGGTATATGAATGTCAAAAGAGACATGACTGGATAAAATGGAAAGATGCAATACAAGTCGAACTTGATTCGCTCAATAAGCGAAATGAATTCGGACCTATTGTACTCACACCTGAAGATGTGAGACCGGTTGGATACAAATGGGTTTTCGTTAGAAAACGAAATGAGGAAAATATAATTACGAGATACAAGGCTCGTCTCGTAGCTCAAGGATTTTCTCAAAGACCCGGGATTGATTATGAGGAAACATATTCCCCCGTTATGGATGCAATAACGTTTAGATTCTTGATGAGTCTAGCGGCTGATGAAAATTTAGAAATGCGTCTCATGGATGTTGTTACAGCATATTTATATGGATCATTAGATACAAATATCTATATGAGAGTTCCCGATGGGTTTAATATGCCAAAAGCATTAAAATCTAAACCCAAAGAGTTGTGTGCAATAAAGTTGCAGAGATCATTATATGGGTTAAAGCAATCTGGACGAATGTGGTATAATCGTCTCAGTGAGCATTTAATTAAAGAAGGATACGTGAATGATCCTATATGCCCATGTGTTTTCATAAAGAAAACAAATTCCGGATTTGTTATAATCGCGGTATATGTAGATGATCTAAACATAATCGGGACTCAAGCAGAAATACAGAAAGCAACAAACTATTTAAAAGGGGAATTTGAGATGAAAGATCTCGGACAGACAAAATTTTGTCTTGGCCTACAAATTGAACATACTCAAAAGGGTATATTTGTACATCAATCCACATACACCAAAAGAGTGTTAAAACGTTTTAATATGGATAAGGCAACTCCTCTCAGTACTCCAATGGTCGTTAGATCACTTAATGTTGAGAGTGATCCATTCAGACCACCTGAGGAGAATGAAGAGATACTCGGTCCTGAAGTACCGTATCTAAGTGCAATTGGAGCCCTTATGTATCTTGCAAATTGCACTCGACCTGATATATCATTTTCAGTCAATCTTCTGGCTAGATTTAGTTCATCCCCTACACGAAGACATTGGAATGGGATTAAACATGTCTTTCGTTATCTTCAAGGGACTATTGATTTAGGGTTATTTTATCTTAAAAATATAAATGGTCAAATGATTGGTTTTGCAGATGCAGGATATTTATCAGATCCACACAAAGCTCGATCACAAACAGGATACGTATTCACGATTGGAGGTACCGCTATATCATGGCGTTCTCAGAAGCAGACGCTTGTAGCTACTTCTTCGAATCATGCTGAAATCATCGCACTCCATGAAGCGAGTAGAGAATGCGTATGGCTAAGATCAATAAGTCGACATATTCAAACCAGTAGTGGAATTTGTCTGAATACAGAGCCAACTATCTTATATGAAGACAATGCTGCATGTGTTGCTCAGACAAAGGAAGGATATATCAAAAGCGATAGAACCAAACATATCCCTCCGAAGTTCTTTTCATACACCCAAGAGCTCGTGAAGAATAAAGACATTGAAGTAAGATATGTCCGATCATCCGAGAATTCTGCGGATCTCTTCACAAAATCATTGCCCACCTCTATGTTCAGGAAACATGTTCATAATATTGGAATGCGTCATCAACAAGACTTGTAAGTTATGATCCTGATCATTCGAGGGGGAGCTTGCGAGGTTGCACTCTTTTTACCTACTATGGTTTTTCCCACTGGGTTTTCCTAGAAAAGTTTTTAACGAGGCAACAGAAGATACAACAGAAGATATTACGCAAGAGATATAGTGACACTGGTCTCCAAGGGGGAGTGTTACGAAAGTCAAGAAATACTGCGAAGGAGAAAAACATGCGTAAAATCATTCGTAATATATTATTTTGTGTGGAGCCCACCGTCACTATGCAGCATAGTAATTTACTTTTTCTACCTCTATATAAACGAACGAATTCGTTCGTTTGTAAAGACAATTGATTACTTCAATTATAAGAGAAGTAACAAACATCTCTCTCTCGTCTCTTTACTATTTTCAGTATCCCGATCCTTCTGCGGGTATAAATTCTTTCTCCATTATTTATATTTATATACACCATAATATAAAGTAATTATTTATAACAACAACTTTTTTTTAATAATTCCTTAAAACCAAGGAAAGAAAAAAGAGGAAAAGAAAAAACAAAGAGGAAGAAGACAAAACCGACTATCACGCATTGTCTGGTACGTAGAGCCAAAAGGAACAATGCCTCTGTTTTAGTGTTTTCTTTCTTAAAAGTTTTTTCCAAAAACACAAACAACAATTCACACACACGCTATTACTCACAAGATAACCACCAGAGACTTAGATAGATAGATAAAGATAGAGAGAAGAACTCTTACTCCCAAAAGAAAAAAAAGCTTTAAGACATTTTCTTCGAAATTCATGTGGTTTTTTTCTTTCCACTGATGTAAGTTTTTCTCTGGTTATCTTCTTTGATCATTGCTACTTTTTTTTTTTTTTTTTCTTTCTTGTTTATCAAATTAGGAAACTTTTAATTCAGCTCTCTGTGTGTGTTTCTTCGTCTATATCTATTTAAAAAGTTTACTAGATTCAAAGGTTTTAAAATTCTGTACTTTCTCTGCAAACCCTAGTTCCTCTGTTCTTTAACCCTCTTTTTGTTAAACTGCAGATTCTCTGGATCTTTAAAGAAATTCCGAATCATGGGTTTGGTTCTTCTGGTTACGACTCTCTCAAAGTTCAAATCTTTCCTTAAAAAGGATTAAACTTTTTTTCCTTTTGGTTCTGAATAATCCAAAATCAAGCTTTGGCCTTCAATGGTGGCTATGTTTCAAGAAGATAATGGAACATCTTCTGTAGCTTCATCACCACTTCAAGTCTTCTCAACTATGTCTCTCAATAGACCGACTCTCCTCGCTTCTTCATCACCGTTTCATTGTCTCAAAGATCTCAAACCTGAGGAGCGTGGTCTCTACTTAATCCACCTCTTGCTAACTTGCGCCAACCACGTGGCTTCAGGTAGCCTCCAAAACGCTAACGCAGCGCTCGAGCAGCTCTCTCACCTCGCTGCTCCTGACGGCGACACGATGCAGCGTATAGCTGCTTACTTCACCGAAGCGCTCGCTAACAGAATCCTTAAGTCCTGGCCTGGTCTCTACAAGGCTCTTAACGCAACTCAGATAAGAACCAACAATGTCTCTGAGGAGATTCATGTTAGAAGACTCTTCTTTGAGATGTTCCCGATACTCAAAGTCTCTTACTTGCTCACTAATCGAGCTATACTTGAGGCTATGGAAGGAGAGAAGATGGTTCATGTGGTTGATCTCGATGCTTCTGAGCCAGCTCAATGGCTTGCTTTGATTCAAGCTTTTAACTCTAGGCCTGAAGGTCCACCTCATTTGAGAATCACTGGTGTTCATCATCAGAAGGAAGTGCTTGAACAAATGGCTCATAGACTCATTGAGGAAGCAGAGAAGCTCGATATCCCGTTTCAGTTTAATCCTGTTGTGTGTAGATTAGACTGTTTAAATTTAGAACAGTTGCGGGTTAAAACAGGAGAGGCCTTGGCCGTTAGCTCGGTTCTTCAATTGCATACCTTCTTGGCCTCTGATGATGATCTCATGAGAAAGAACTGCGCTTTACGGTTTCAGAACAACCCTAGTGGAGTTGACTTACAGAGAGTTCTAATGATGAGCCATGGCTCTGCAGCCGAGGCACATGAGAATGATATGAGCAACAATGGGTATAGCCCGAGTGGTGACTCGGCCTCATCTTTGCCTCTACCTAGTTCAGGAAGGACTGATGGCTTCCTCAATGCAATTTGGGGGTTATCTCCAAAGGTCATGGTGGTCACTGAGCAAGACTCAGACCACAACGGCTCCACACTAATGGAGAGGCTTTTAGAATCACTCTACACCTACGCAGCATTGTTTGATTGCTTGGAAACAAAAGTTCCAAGAACGTCTCAAGATAGGATCAAAGTGGAGAAGATGCTCTTCGGGGAGGAGATCAAGAACATCATAGCCTGCGAGGGATTTGAGAGAAGAGAAAGACACGAGAAGCTTGAGAAATGGAGCCAGAGGATCGATTTGGCTGGTTTTGGGAATGTTCCTCTTAGCTACTATGCGATGTTGCAGGCTAGGAGATTGCTTCAAGGGTGCGGTTTTGATGGGTATAGAATCAAGGAAGAGAGCGGGTGCGCAGTGATTTGCTGGCAAGATCGACCTCTATACTCGGTATCAGCTTGGAGATGCAGGAAGTGAAAGAACATGAATGATATGTACACTTTGTGTTATCTTTTGTTTATGAGCAGAGTCCCTTTCTTTTGTATACATAGGGACACAATCTTAGTTGTTTTGTGATTGTGACTTCCTGTCTCTTTATTCTATTTTGGCAAATGCTTCTACTGCCTCTGCATATAAAGCCTTTCTAGTTTTCAGCAGTGTGTTGGTTCATTTTGGTCTGGTCTGGTGTAATACCAAACCAAATCCAAATTGAGCTGAAGATAACTAATTTTATGGTCGGTTCAAGTTATTTACTGTCATATCAACCAATCACCATCAATCCTTTAAGATGAAAATCAATCACACAATAAAAGGGCACATAAAGTTCTTAACTCCAAATTCTTGCAGAGACCACCAAATCTTGTCTTTCTTTATGCAGATGATCTCGTCATTTGTGTATTGTAAACAACTAACTTGTGTATATATATTTAGGTTATAACAAGGAGATGTGCACTATCCAAAGAGAGTCTGATGTATATATACTATGGCAACACATGTTATTTACATATTTCCTCATTTCAAATCTGTGAACCTGAAGAACACAAAAATGCAGCTCAACAACTCTTCATGATCAAAATTCTGGAAGAAGCGAAACTTCGCCAACCGTAGATTTAAGAACATCTACCATGAGTTGTCTACACCATGAATAGATATTTGAGATCATCAACGGTTAATCGAGTTGCAGAGCTTCCACCATGATCTTCACCAAAGGCAGACGCAACCATTTTTCTTTTCTCTTCCTATAATAAACAAAAATCACAGAACCATAAATGAGAAACTGAGGGGTAAACAAGTATCAGCTAGAAGGAAAGGTATAAGATCTTAAAGCATACCTGGAGAGACAAAATTCTATCCTCGACAGTATCTTTTATCGTAATACGAGTTACAGTAACTGGTCGAGTTTGTCCAATACGATGTGCTCGATCAATAGCTTGATCTTCAGTAGTTGGATTCCACCAAAGATCAAGAAGAATGACATGACATGCAGCAATCATATTCAGCCCAAGATTTCCAGCTTTTAAAGACATTATCATCACTTTTACCTGTTTAAGACAAAAGGAGGGAACACAAACCACTAAGAAAATTGTTTAGGAAAAAATAATTTCAGATAAAAGAGTTTTGAAGATATGCATAAGACTTACATCTGGATCGTTGCTGAATTCTTTCACTGCTCTGTCTCTGGCAATTAGACTCATTGTACCATCTAATCTTCTGAATTCTATACTATTTTCAATTAGAGATAGCTCGACCAAGTCAAGCATACCAGTCCACTGGGAAAATATAATCGTTTTTATTGGTCCTTGGTTAGAAGGAGTTGACTGCAGACTCGGTTTCTCGACAATGGTGACATCATCATCATCATCATCATACGGCTGCTGTGAGGAAGAAGCCATTTGACCATTCTGTGTTGAGTTTGGACTGCCTTGGTTACAAAGCGACTGCAGAATATCTAAGACAGCTTTGATCTTTGATGAACTAAACTCGCTGTTCTGAAAGACTGCTTTGTCATGCCCTGTATCCTGTGAAGAACTACAACCCAAATCATCAGCAATGCAACTTCTAAGGGTGGATTTAGAGAAAACAACATCATGCGCAAGCTGTTCTCTGCATCTAGGCACAGGGCACGTGTCCTCATCCCCTGTGATATAATCTGATACACACTGATAGCAGAATATATGGCCACACAAAGTAACAACAGGGTCTTCTGGTGGATCCTGCAAAGAGACAAAAGACGGAATGTATGGGTAAATGAAATCAGAACTAGCAGCTAGGGACTAGATTATGGCGAAACCTGAAGACATGCTACTTATATCGCTAAATTATTACGCACTTACATGGCAAACACAACAGATGGGAGACGATTCTAAGCGACTGAGAAGGCTAACTCGAGCCTCTTTAGGGAGCCTTTTAACAGCTTCTTCTGATACTTTTCCGACAGAATCTGAGTTATATCTTTTAACAAGTTGGGGGTGGTCACAAGCTTGGCGTAGTCGCAAAAGCATGAGAAGAATGTTTGCATAGTTTTGATTCAAAGTTCCTGCAGCAGCATATGCCTGCAGAGAAAGAAATATCATCTTACATACTTGACAAGAAATCAGGAGTCACTGCGAAACATTTTCTTCAATGAAAACTCCTCCATAACCACGAACTAATATTTATACCACATCGAGTTGCTAGTTACTGCGTAAGTATCTTATGTTTTCAAAAAACGTGCAGATCACAGCTATAAACCAAGGATAAACTGATAGTTTGGAGGAGCACAGAAAGAGCACCTTAAACTGAGAACGTGAATCAGATTCAAGCTTCATGTAGAAAGACCGCTCCTCTACCGAAAAGTCCACCTTGCTCAAATTAATTGTCTTTGGTGGTAGATTAATTATAGGCTGGCCATCAAGCAATGTTCCTAGATCGCAGATCAGAAGAAGAGTATCAATTTATCAGAGTCCCTCAACAGAAGCACCGTTACGTGAGGGGATAATAGGAGTAACATGAAAAATCTATCATCAAAAAGCAGAAGATCAGAGCAAAATGAAATGGAAAAATGTACAAACCGAAGAATAGTTTTGGACTTAACTTTAGGACTAATATTAGGTAACGGCTCAGGTAAGCTCACAGCTAATCTCATTATAAAGTATCTAAGAGATAAGCAGATATAATAAGAAAATGCATGGCATTGACCACTTTTTTCAAGTCCTGTCCATCACCAATCCACCCACTAAAAGGAATAGTGAGATAGTCAAAGTACCTTTCGTACGGCGCAGCATTATAGCCCTTAGAACAGCTTGAAGCTTCTTGTAACCATGAAGGGAATTTCTGGAAATTGGACCCTTAATTTGGTGGCAGAATGACTTGTACACAGCGTATGGATCATATTTCAGAAACCTGAAATAGCTGTATAAATCATCTATTGTATTTTGTATCGGTGTTCCAGACAAACACCATCTCCTTTTGGCTCGAAGACCGCAACATGCTCTTGCCACCTGGGTTCTATGATTCTTAATTGTTTGAGCTTCATCTAGTACAACTCTGAACCACCCAACTTTTGCTAGAGTACCAGAGTCAGGGTCAGACGAAGAATCGTCAGCATTATTCTTACCTTTTTTCTTACTTTTCTTAGTAGTACCCACTACATTTTTCCGTTTCTTATTGATGGAGAAGCCAGAAGCGAGACCGTATTTTTCAGAATTTTTTTCATCATTCTCATCGTCATCCACCAAGGGTTGCTTTGGAACTTCATTTGAAACAATAGCGTAAGTTGTCATTACCACATCATATTTTGCTAGTTCAATAGGATCTTTGGTCCTGTTACCGCCGTGGTATATTAAAACAGAAAGTTTGGCTTCATCAGTAACTTTCTCATCAAGTTCTCTTGCCCACTGCCGCACAACACTTGCTGGACAAACAATTAAAGTGCCAGCAGCTGGTCGCTTCCTGTTGAATTTGCGTGTTGAAGTACTCGCTTCTTCTCCCTTGGCTTTCTTTATGCCTGAACTACCATTCACCCCACTACCATTTGAAACCTTAGACTCTGGTTTCTCAAATGCATTTTCTGACTCATCATCAGCATCCAGATCCAATGCTTCAGCCTCTTGATTGCCTGAATTCTTGGACTTTAATTTTGCCTCGTGCATTTGCTTTAGGATAAGAGCAATAGTCGAGACTGTCTTACCAAGGCCCTGCACAGTAGACCAAATGGAATTTTGGGAAACCTAGTAAAATCATAGATAGTAGCGGAAAATAACTACGATTATATGTAACCTGATCATCAGCTAATATCCCTCCCATACAGTGCAAACTATTAGTTTCCTTCTGAAACATCCATGCCAATGCAATTTTCTGAGAAACAACAGTGTTTAGTACACACAACCATTCTGATACTGAAAGATGAACTAAAACATGAATACCTGATGCTTCATAAGGGGAACAGAAAGCAGACCGGCAGGTAAATCGACCTCGGACTTGGGTTGATTCAGTTCCTGTAAAACATATGTACTCAATTATCAGAACTTTAAGCACTTACCATACCAATTCATATCGGGGCCAAATTTTTTTATTTTTAAATCACACCATCTCATACCAGGTGAATTATGCGAAAACAGCAAACTCTTCATATGGAAATCATAACCTTGATGCAACAGTGCGAAATAAGAGAAGAATGCAACAAAAGTGAATGTTCCAATTCCTTATCGTTTCCCAAAAAGGAAGAAAAACAATGCTTCCACACACATGGTCTATATAACAGAAAAATTCAGCATGTTACTCGGTCTCGAGCATCATTGAGAAATTGAGGCATCCAAACCTTTAAAAACCTATTACTCATTTCTGACATAAAACAAACAGGAAGGGACAAGCCTATTCCAATCATTCAATGGCCAAGTTCACTACCACTGTCATAATAGTTTATCGGTTATAATAAAGTCCAATAACCCACAGCTGGTGAAAGAGAGAAGTGCATTGCACATAGAATAAAAGCACAAAAGAAAAACTAAGATGGGAATCGCAAAGTAAAAAGTTGAGATAAGGATGAATACCTGTAGTGCAGCCTGATAGATCAGCCTCTCGTCATTTTCCGAATGCCTTTCTTCACCTATGCCATTCCTGTGCATTGGATCACTTAAACCATTAAAATGTGAAGGAGACGCAGATGTTCCATGCCCCACAGATGGAGGTAGGATCCGAGTGCCATTAGTCACACGCCCCGTGCCTATCTCATCATGTGCTCTACCATAACGATCACCAATGCTACTCTTGTTCCCTGCAGCCGACACAGCTGAACTACTATAATCCCCACGAAAGTGACTCGCATTCCCATTACTTGTACCAATATCAGGTCTAGGAGGAAAAGGAGGTCGACTAAAGGCTGTTGAGTGTGTCCTTTTAAGAGCTTGTTGAGATGAAAATTTCTCATAATCTCCAACAGAAATATTGGGAATTCTGGAAGTTCCTATAGTCCCATTTCCCGCAAAATGTGTACGGTGTTCTGCCCGTGGTAGTGGCTTGGCTTCAAAATCATTACGTGAAGCGGGATTTGTAAGTCCTGTTTCCGTGTGGCCATTTGCAGCAGAAGACCTCCCACTAAAAAATTGCGGTCTCAGCGTAAAGGGGTCCCTTCTTCGAGATCCTGCACCAAGATCATCAACTCCATAAAGCTACCCTAACTAACCTCACAGCAAAAAAAAAAAAAAAACAATAGATAGGTCAGAAATGTAACCTTCAGCTTTCCGTGGTGGAAGTTGAGGCCTGGTTCTAGTTTCTTGTATCTCTACATCACTATCTGAACTGATATCAATAGCGGAATCCATCGCACAACCTCCTCTGAGCTAATCAGCCTGAAATCCACAAGAAAGGTAAAACTTTACAAAGCGCTCTGTTATCGCGAAAGGCAAATCCAAAACTAAGATTACCAAAAGTGTAAGAGCTTCCATATAAGATCAAACAAAGTAAAGCTACATACTTTATGAAGAGAATCACTTGCATATTGTAAAAGTAATGCTAAATCGAAATAAACAATCATAATCACCAACAAAAGTTTCAAGTGGGCGGTGGCTTAGGAAACTTTGTAATGTTTTGGCATCAATTTCTAGTGGACGATCACCGAAACTCTTCGGCGTGAACCAAAGGAACTCCAATTGAAGATTATTCCGAAACCCAGAAAAGCAATTAGGACAGAACAGAACAACAACAACAACATGCAATGGCGGGACAATATAATCAAAAACCAAACTTTCGATAAAAGAAACCCTAAGAGCACGACAATAGGAAAAAAAATGGAAAATTGGGAAGAATCAGTCAGTACCGGGAAAGAAGTAAGAAGCAAAATTGAGAAAAGAGTGAAGCCAATTGTTGTTCTTCATAAGGAAGGGTTATTTTTCTCAAGTTGACCCAAAGAAAGAATCAGAGACGCTACGGCGGCGTTTTGATCGGAGAAAAAAATGAAGATAGATACGCTCTCATCAATTTTTTTAAAAAACGAGGAAAAGTCTCAACAAATAAAAATTAAATAAATAGTAAAAAAATAAAAATCAGTGAACCCATGGGCCAAAGCTCTCGGCCCATATTATTTCAACTTCATATAGTATATTTCATAATTTCATTGGATGGAAAACTAAGGATGATTGTTGACAAAAAAAAAAAAAAAAAGAATAATTGAGAAAAAAAATTAGACTGTGAATTCTCACACTCCATAAATGGGTATAAACTCGATTTTTTTGTTATAAGTTACTAGTATTGTTTCTTATTTTTTTTTAATGTAATATATCATTATGTTTTTTTTATTATAAAAGGTTTTGTTATTTTATATAACAAGTAAATTATAACTTTAAAAGTATTAAATTGACATCAAAACAAATGAAAATTGAGCTTCCGAGATATCATTTACATTATTAAAAGTGGACACTAATAATATATCATGGAATTTAAGATATTGGGATCCATATCCACATCCATCGGATCTGAGAGATACCTATCCGGATCAATATCCGTCAATATCCGTGTGTACCTAGATTTGATTTAGATCCACCAAAATACTTAGTATAAAATAATTTAAAAACATTAATCATAAAATAAATTTAAATATCATATAATTTTTTCAAATATAAAATTTTTAAGAACCTATCATGTGCCTTTTACAAAAAAAAAATCAAAAATATAGTTTTTTGGTGATTTTTTGAACAATTTTTCTATTTATTATATAGTATATGTAAATAAGTGTGTATATATATATATATATATAAAAATAATTCATAGAATTATATAGAAAAGCAGATTCGGGTATCCTAATCTTTAAATCAAAATATCCGAATCCAAGATTTTGCATAACCTATTTTTACATCGAATTGTGTCGAATCTCATTATAGATCTCAGATCCCGAATATTTTGTCCATCACTAATTCAGCACCCATAAAAACAAAATTTAAGCCATTGAAGGAGTTCATCAAAATGAAATTTTTTACCTTTCGGAGTAAAGCACCGATACTTTGTCTCAAGATTAGATTAATTTTTTCTCGAACGCCGTTTAGTCGGGCAACAAAAAAATATGGTGGCGCTAGTAGATTTATTGTTATGTTAGGAATTAGGAGAGGCGTATATTTATATAGGGGATGCAATATAGTTCGAGTTTAAGGTTATTTGTTGGAAATTTTATTTCCTAAATATTATGAATCTTGCAAAATAAATATTTAGCATTGACTAGATTTTATTAATAAATATTTTATTTTGGAAAAAACAAATATTGACCAATTTTATTTTGGGGAAATTTCAAACCTATCATTTTTCCAATACCACTTTTCAAACTCTTTCTCTAAAACATTATCAAAAATATCTCTGAAATATGAGATTTATCCAAATATGTGTGTAATCTTATTAAAGCATACACAAATTACATGTATATGTGAGGAAAATCCTATAAATATTTTATAAATACCTTATAAATAACTTGTAAACTCTATAGATACCTTGTAAAACCTTCTAGCGTCTTATAAAATCTTATAAATACTTGGATCGAATCTTCAACTAAAATCTTGTTAAATAAGTTAAATCTATTTAAATCGCTACATTAAAAATATGTTAATATAAAAATTAAAATTAAATATATTCAAAAAAATAACCCATTGTATTGAATTGTAAAAAATATTCATAGTGGCATACACTTATAAATTATCAATATTAACGGTATAACCCAAGGAAACTCGGTAATCAAGTACGAAACAACAATATGTTTAGCAAATGTAATAGTAGAATTAAATAAAAATGATTGGAAAAACTTTATAAATATTTTCTGATTTAATGAGAGACATCTTTGAAAATAGACAGCGGAATGAGATATTTTTGAAAATGAGAACAGTAGAAAAGCTTTTTTTTTTTTTGGTCAAAAAGAACTCATATTGAATTGTTGAAATCAGTAAAGAGTTCGAGCTATTTGCTCGGGAGGGTTTACAGAACTTGAGATGAAAGAAAGATTATTGCATCCATATTTTGCTAATAAATGGGCAGCTTGATTACATTCTCTCTTGGTATAGACAAACAGAGTGAAAGAAAATTAGAGTATTTTGTTAGTTAAAAAATTAATTGAAAGGAAAAAGAAATTTAGACATACCAACAAAATTTCTGATGTTGACACATTAATGAAATAAAAAAATAAGAAAGCCTCTTCCTCAATGTGAAATGAAGAAACCTCCTTGGCTTATATTATTGGGAGCAATACACTAAAAAAAATCTAATCTGAAAAAATTAAACAGCAAAAAATACCAAATCTTGAGGAGGCCTTTCTATGGAATTAACCGACGTTAACACCGAAACCAAACTTGTAATCCTTCCTCACATGATCCAACTGGTTCATTTAACCATCAGTATAAAACAAGTCATTAACAAATGCACTCAAAATGTTTAGTAACGGATTAAATCATTTTCTTTACCTCCGCAGATAGAAGAAATCTGAGTCCACTAGCATGTTGTTCTTCAAGGTAAGCAGCTGCAACACCTTTTGAATCGATCTTTCCTCTTAATCGAGACTAAACCAAACCACAACCATAACCATAATTAGAACAGATTTTAGTTGCTATTTCAAAACTCCAATGGGACAAAAGGCATGAGGTATGTACCTGTCTAAAAATGAAGTCATACCCTACACTAGCTGTAACATCTCGTGATAAAAAGTTGTAAATGAAGTCCGTAGCAAAAGACACCTGATTATTGAAAAAAATAAGAATTAGCTTATATACTCTATATGATTAAAGATGAATTAAGATAAGGCTGGAATGCTTACCTTCTCTGAAACCTTATGAACATAGTTCATGACAGCCAGACCAGTGGAAGCAACTTGCCCACTGGCAACCTGTTGGATTATAAAACATTTAAAGAGATTCAAAAAAATGAAAAGAAAAAGGATAGTAGTCAAGTTAGCTTGAAGATTGAGGAACATTGTCAACCAACATAGAAATGAAGAATCGATTTTCTGATTGTGTTTTGTGGGGTAATAGTAAAACAAATTCTATATAGAAAAAGTCGTGAGTTGCCTCATTCTAATTAAGAAGAAACATTTTACCATTTTGTCAGTCTCGTATCGAGCTGCATAACCAACGCCCGACATCAGTTGCTGACCAAGCCAGAAAGCCTCAGCACCCAAAGACAGGTGTGGTGTCACATGCTGGAAGAAAAAGATATGATTCAGTGAAAAGAAACAGATTTCTATTAGGCAACTAACAAAAGCTTAACTCATGCTGACAAAATAAACCAAAGCTTGTCCAGGGATAAAGGGAAAAGCTACCTAACTATACACTTAACCACAGAATTTCAATATAACAGTTTAAAATGGTAATGCTAATAACATATTAGCAGGGGCAAGTTGTTCATTTTACCTGAATATAGTTAGCTCCATAAAGGGAATTGTTTCCAAACTGAAGCTGAGTTCTGTAGTCTGACCCCTAAATAGGTGTAAACCGTGAATTGTCAAACCCAAATAAAAGCTAAAAGGTGTGGACGTATAAAAAAAACATACTGAACAGAGAAAAGTCCTCACCTTGTAATCAAAGGTGAAGTGGCCTTGCGACTTATCTTGTTCATCTGTCAGCTGGCAGAGAAAATAAATAATATGGTTATAGATAGAAAGAAAATATTATGCAGCTACTACACACCGTAGACCAGACACACAATAATTTCTGGTTGAGACGATTTTACCAGAGCATTAGCCTTGATGGAAAAATTATCAGTTAAATCGTACTTGACTCTCGCATTTAGTCTACCATCCGTTGTGATCCTTCCGATAAGCAATAGCTGTTTAGAAGTTTGTCAATGTTATATCTTGCTGATGAAAACCATTATACATAGTACCACCTAATAAATACAATGAATAAACAACATACCTTTGGATCAACGTAATTAGCACCAAATTCATAATTGGAAGTTGGGATTTTGAATATTTCGGATGATGGAGATTGAACCTCAGTTGGTCCCATCAATACGCTGTTGGAAAGATCAATACACAGGTCTTAGTTAAGAACACAAATAGTGCCACAAAATACTTATTAACCAAAAACCTCACTACCTATGGCTGAGAAAAAACTTCTGGTTTAAGAACTTGTTATAGTCGAGGCGGAAACCCTCAAATAGGTCTGGCTTTAAAGCGCCTGCAAAGTGAAATCAAACCAGTCAAAACAAATCCACACATACCAAAACACATGATCTCAAGATCACACCCAAATCAAAATCACAGGCTAAGTAATGTAAAGGTTCAGAAACTTAAAGAGCTCGAATTTGTGGAATCAGAAGCATAACAAGACATCAAAATTCCAACTTTATGATACGAAAATACTCATTCTTTTAATTCCGATCGTTGATTCAAACGCAGAGATATAAAAGAACCAGAAATCAGAAACCCAAGACAGAGACAGGTTGTGATCTCCAAAAGTAGAGTTCAAGAACGAATATATAAAACAGTAGAGAGAGAGAGAGAGAGAGAGGGGGTAATACTGAACTGTGAGCTTCACGGTGGATTTCCTCATAGATGACAGGGCAAGGGAGGTTTGAGTAATCCACTTTCTCGTCAAGTTTGGTCTTTGCATCGACTTGCGCCGTGTAAATCGGTGGTGGAAAGCCCTCCATCGCTGTTGTTTCCCGTCAAGGAAGAACTTTTATGGTTCGCTATAAGAGAAAATTGTAGAGGAATCGAAGAAGAAGAAGAGCAAGAGAGAGTCTTTCAAGGGTTTTTGGTTTTTGTCGCAGCGTGTGCGTCAAGGGTTTTGTAATCGTCTCAATATTACTTTGGCCCGGTTTTATTATACTTTTTTGAAACGGGTCGGAACCGACCTATTTCGGGTCACATTTTACTTTACCCTCTCAAAATCATCATGCTCATAATTCTTTATTTTCTTTTTGAGAAAAATTCCTAAAAAAAATTATTTAAAAGTTTAATACCCATATATATTTTTCTCGGTGGGATGAAAAATACACAATTCAATTAAAATAAGTGATTTAATACTCAAAAAAATAAATTTATAATTTTCATACTCACGATCTCAAAACCAAAACAAAATTCTAATTTCTTTATACCATTTCAAATAATTATTAATTTTTAAATAGCATGGCATTAATTTTAATTTTATTGAATATCTTAACTTTTATTAATACTAGGACTCAAGACCCCCGCGACATCGCGGGGGAATATATTTCAAAAAGCGTTTAAAAAATATCAAACGAAAAAAATCATAATGAATTGTAATAATTTTGATTTTTTTTAAATATCAAATCAATATATATTTTACAAAAATTATGATAAAGAAAACCCTCACATGAATATTAGAAAAACATTAATTTGTAACTAAAAAACTATTCCCAAATGCAAAAAGCATCAAATAATAAACCAAAGGTTACAACGGTTTGATAAATAAACCAAAATATTCAACGTCAAATAAACCAAATGCTACTATGTTAAATTAAACGGTGACAATAATTTATTTAAATATATTTTAGTAATTAAATATTTTTACAAAATATGACAAACTTTAACCGAGAGACGTGACCGTAGATATCAAATATACCAAAAGCTGCAACGGTTCGTCAAATATACCAAATATTGCAATGGTTCATCAAATATACTAAAGATTACAATGGTTTGTAAAACAAAACCAAAAATTGCAATGATTCGTCAAATAATTCAAATATTGCAACAGTTCAATTAAATAGTTACAATCTCATTTAAGTACATTTTAATAATTAAAAATTAAGAACTAAAAATAATAATTTATGAAAAGTTACACCGACGGTAGATGATTAAATATTATGAAGATTTATAAAATAAACTTAAAGTTGCAATTGTTCATGAAATAAACTAAATGTTGCAATGGTTCTACTAAATAAGGATATGGTTTGCTTATTATCATCGTAGAACAAATAATCGTTGTAGCAGGACAAAAAATTAGAGTTTCGAAAAGAAAGACAATATATAGAGTTGAAAATGCACGATTTTACAACTATTCAATAAGTCCATTACGTAGACGAACGTGTCCGTTACAGCTTTAATGTGTGGGGCTCATTTCACTCACGTATGTCCAAATTATTTAAATCTCTATATTATTGTTTTCCCATGATATCACTTAAATGTTAAATGAATGATATAATTAAGGAGGTTATACTACTAAATATATCCATATGTAAACTATGAAATAAAACCAATTTTATATGTAGTTTATTGGTTTACGTAAAAAGAAATTCAATAAAACAACATGACCGTACAAAAATAACTGTAAGAAAAACAACCATAAATATTTAAACGAAAAGTTGCAATAAAAAGACGCAACCGTTCAGATGTGCAAATGGTATTTATTGGAAATGACATAACCGTAAAAAAATAACCGATTAAAACGAAAATTGCGATAAAAAGACGCAACCAAAATAACCGTAAAAAAATAACCGATTTAAACGAAAAGTTGCGATAAAAGGACGCAACCATTCAGATGTGCAAATGGTATTTATTAGATTGCTATTATATATAGATTTTGTTTTTAAAAAATTAACCTTCTTCAAATTTCCTTTTAAAAACCCTAATTTTATTACCTTTATATTTTATCACCTTTATATCATTAAAATAAAATATGTAGAAATAAAATAAAAATAAAATTAGAAGATAATTTGAAAAAATTAATCTTCTTCAATTTTATTTTAAAAAACGATAATGTGAGTTAGCAATTTGGAAAACCAAACTTTATACAATAAGATAGCAAGTGACGAACTACAATAGACAAGAACATGTAAACTACAATTTACAAAACAATTAAGAAGATCATTAAATAATAAACAAATTGTATGAAAATAGATCTCAGAGATAAAAAAAAAAAGATCTCAGAGATTACGATTTTATTTTTTTGTGAGAAACAGGGAGACAGTAAATTACATCCGGATGGACCTTGGAAACGCTATTATTACTACTATTAAAAATATTTATTTACTAATTGTTAAATAGATTAAAAAATATTATATTTTCATATATGTAAATACTTGAAGATCAAGTAATAAACCTATTGATCTGCAATACTCGAATTCAATTGATCTGCAATACTCAGAGTTCTAGTTTAATTTGTATGATTAAAGACATTCAAGAAAAATTCAATTGATTTTCTAAACTTGATGCTTTTATTTGCTCTTTTTCTAAAGGTCTTTAGCAACACAAAAAAAGAAATGTCTACGGAATCTGAGCTTAAAGAAAAGACGAACAAAAGAAGGAAACAATTACAAACCTAAATTGTGAAGACTTCTCATCTCAACAACGTAAAAAGATCATCAATTGATCATCACGCAACTAAATTTGAGGACTCACCCAGAAGCAGGAATCATGTCCAAAACTTTCATCATGAATGCAAACATAAATGCATCCTCTTGAAGCTTCTCGAATCTGCACGTCCATCAAACAAACCGAGCCTTCTTGGTCAATTGAACAAGAGTTAACCCTAGTCTAACCGCAGAATCGTTGGGATAAAAGAAACCCATACCTCCCAGATTTTGAGAAATGCCCTGCGCCAAGCTCACATTTGAACAGAAGTACGTTGTTGTCAGTCTTCATTTCTCTCAGTTTTGCCACCCACTTGCCAGGTTCAGAGTACATAACTCTTGGATCTGTTGAACAGACAGAATCAATTCAAAACGTCCATAGGTCAGAAACAAACCTGCGACTATCTTAAAGGAGAAGCAGCTTTATTACCAAATTGTATAGACTAAAAAAAAACTTACCATTTAACCCAGCAGTTACAAGCATATTTGGATAATTCTGCGCTGTTACCTGTTATGTTGCCAATAGATGCATCATCACAGAGAACTTTCATACCATTTATTGCAGATAATATGAAAAGAACCCAAACATATACTCACATTGTCGACAGGGGAATATGACTTCATATAGAAGTAAAATTCTTCCTTTCTGGGGTCACCCCACTCCTACAATGATAGAAGCGAAAAATAAGACAACTTATAAGCACTTTCTTCAGATGAATAACAAAAGATAAAACATTCTCATACAAAATCAAATGACAGCTACTTCATTCATAAGGAAATCTATCTATCCTTATGCCTTTTCCAGTTCCTAATGCAAATCCCTATGAAGACATGCCACATGATATACTCTGTAAAGTAAGAATAATATATGTAATTCAATGTTTTAAGGCATTGAACAAGTATCGAACCCACCTCCCATTCTGATGTCGTAAGCGGAATTGTTGGGTCCAGCATTGTTGTCAAAACATCTACAAAAGGAACTCCAGCGACAACCACCTTGAACAAGTCAGGCCTCATATTAACAACAGCACCCATCAGCAATCCACCAGCACTTCTTCCTTCCATGCACAGTTTTTCTTTCGAGCAATACTTCAGTTCTATTAAACGCTCAGCACAAGCAATAAAATCAGTGAATGTGTTTTTCTTCTTCAACAGCTTCCCATTCTCATACCACTGTCTCCCCATTTCACCACCCCCACGAACATGAGCAATTACAAAGATAAACCCACGATCTAACAGGGACAACCTTGATGTCTTGAAATATGGATCCACAGAAATCTGTAATAAAGATAAGAGCATTTTATAGTTCTGCTCGAAAGAAGTAAAAGGACCGAGAATCTGGGGACCATAAAAGCAGCAACTAAAAATACCTCATATGAACCATATCCATAAAGGAGTAATGGATCAGATCCATCGAGCTTAGCAAGTTTTTTGTTATACACAATAGACATTGGAATTTGAGTTCCGTCTGATGCAGTGACCCATTTTCTTTCTGTAACATAATTTGATGCATCAAAACCTCCCAATACCTGAATGACATATAGCAGACTATCATAAAGATCGTAAAAGTACAGTAACAGTCATAAAGTAAAACCTGGAAAACTTTAATTTCTTTCATGTGCTTTATGTCAAATTTTAATGAGATACGCTTATGCATTGCAAAGTTTAAAATCCGCAACTAAATGCGCAGAGGACATAGGAAATTCATCCAAAGTGAGGGAGTCCGAAGGAATAAGTAGTTTTACTTACTGTGTCAATCTTCTTGACAACGGAAGTGCCACTGTCCATGTCATAGTCATACACAGAAGGAGGTGTTTTCATTGAGCTGTATTTAAACCTTAAAACTCTGGACGAAAATTCAGACTCGGTTGAGTCAACTGAATAGACCGGGTCAACAAAGCTCACACTACGACCACCTTGGAGCCCTTCCAGTGGCTGTCCCTCAGCAGGAAGCCTATGAACTGTTATCTTCTGCAGTCCCTGTTCACGCTCAAATACTGCGAGATGATCTCGGAAAAGCTGAATTTCCTGAATCTTTACACTGTCCATGTCAAACATATAATATAATTATTTAGCTAAGCATACAAGGTGACCTTGAAGTTAAATGAATCATAAAACTAAATTAGCAATTGGAAAACAACCCAGCCATGCATGTCGTCTAAGCCGAAGGACATACATGAGAGTAAAATTAGTTGGACTTCATCTGGATTTTGGATAGGTGACAATGGCAACCAGATTCTAACAAAAATGTTTACCTTTCTCTATGTGGAAGCAGAACAGTTGTCTTCGATGTGTCATCAACTGGACAGGCGACCAGTTCTGAGTTGTAAAATTCAGTGCTCCTTCTCTGGATGAAAAAGT